CACACACACACACACACACACACACACACACACACACACACACACACACTATTAAACACACAGCTGGGTTTCCATTCAAGTATTTTTATGCGAATTCCGATGTGCTGAATCAGAAAACTGGATCAGAGGCGGCACAATATGACTGATTTATTACCTCAGTAAACATTGTAAACGTGAGTTTATGGTCTCAATTTCCCAAATATTGCAAAAAATTAATTGTGAATATTTTTTAAATAAAGGCAGAGTGAGAGGAATAAACCTTTACACGCAATATATTTCAACTTAACAAGCACCAAATCTTTCATTTGAGTCGAAGAGCAGAGAGAGGACGCAGAGAAAAAAAAGAGACGGACAGATGAGAAGAGAAAGTATTCATAATTCATACTGATACGTGCTGCAGGCGAGTTTTCCAGACGAACGAGGTCATGCTGCAGGTGTGTGTGCGTGTGTGTGCAGGTGTGTGTGTGCAGGTGTGTGTGTCCTGTTGTAACAGCTTGGGAAGTCACGGTGAAGGTGCACAGTAACAGCTGGAGAGCAGGCAGGAAGACAGAGAGCTTCACTTTGGATCAGAGCCATTAACTGTCGCTGCTTCACGTCGATCAGGCCTGTTAGAGCTGAACTTTATGTCTTCTTCACGTCTTTCTCTGACAGACCAACACAGTCTCACAGCAGCTCGTGAAATAGTCAGGAAATGTAATATATTGTATTCTAATTTCTGTGTAGAGAGACACAAATAAACAAAACTACTTCGTTAGGTTTAGAAAGACCGCCACGAAGGTCAGGGTTCAGGCAACAGAACACCTTGGGACACTGTGGTGAACACCTGTCTCATGGGTTGAAAGTCCTGTTTGTTTGATGGAACCTTCCACTTCCCCTCCCGACCACCATAATTGGTCTTTGTCGCTTTTTAAAACTACGTCATTAGCTCTGACCGTTGCATAGTCACGAGGATAAGTTGAACTTGAGCGTTCACCTCGTAAAATGATCCAGATTTACTTTCCATTGGCATTTATTCATCCTATTCCTCAACCTGCCGTGATCACGGGTTGCACAGACAGGTGAGGATGTGGCAGGAAGAACGAGCTTTAATTATGATTCAATCCAAATGAATCCAATGAAGCTAATCACCATGATGTGAGCAGAGAAGCCACAAACGGTGAACCTCTGTGCGCGTACATTTCACAATGTTTGATCCGATGTGTGTTTGGCTGACAGCGGGGGATCTCCCACAGCAGAGACACACAGAAACAAAGGTGCCCTTTGTTGTTTAGCTCTGACCACATGATTTCACAGAAGATAAAATTCCTCTGTTGTATCCACCGCATAGTTTGGTAATTAAGATGCATGACTAACAGCTCATTTGCATAATGTGTGCGTGTGTTTTAAACTATTTTGTGAGACTTATCTGTACATGTTAACATGCTGTGCAAGACTTTTGATGTTGAACAGACGCGTGTTACAATTTTGGAAAATCAGGACCTCAATATCTTTAAAACCGGTTCCAAAAACGCAACCTCCTGCCTGTTGCAGCCCGTCAAACATACTGTACATTCTGAGAATACAGCTGTGAGTTTACAGACGAGACAAAGTACAGAGCTTCATAAAGGAACAACTCTGCTCCAAATAATAAAAAAGACAATCTCAATACTGGCCTCATAAACGTTCCACAGCGGATCAGAGTGCCCTGGAAGTAAATAACATCGTCTCCTGCCATTCAAGTTAACCACTGTGGCTTTGAGGTACTTGTAAAGCAAAACAATTTGACATGTGATTTCATGTCTGTGGTTTTACTGTTTACTTTAGGTAATAAATATATAACACTACATGCTAAGCCACAGTTGATTGATTGTTCCGGTAGAAAACCCTCCAGGCTGACATACACTGGCTGATATCAGATTATTTCAGCTGTATCAGCACACTCAAGTAACAAGTCCTTGCAAACCAAGAAATACCAAACAAGGTTTGACGGAATTTAGGTTACACTGACAGCGTTTACATGCAGATTGCAACCTCCAGTTCTGCTGAGTGAAGCCGATGCTGAAGTGTCTTAAAACCTGCATTCTCTCTAGTGTCCACCAGGGGACGACTCCTCTGGTTGTATAGAAGTCTGTGAGAAAATGACTCTACTTC